CACACACACACGAACAACACACCACACACACACACACACACACACACACACACACACACACACACACACACACACACACACACACACACACACACACACACACACACCACACACCACACAGAAAGCAGAAGGGCGATTGAGGCACATACTGTATCTGATGAATAGCTGAAATGGTATAGAAATAAAGGAGGCCAGAATATGCATACACACACACACACACACACACACACACACACACACACACACACACACACACACACACACACACACACACACACACACACACACACACACACACACACAGGAAAGGCATGGCTCATGGATTCCTGAGGAAAAATTGAAAACAAGGACCAGACGCTGCAGATCTCACCACTTAAGCCGTATTTTCTCATATTACAGCTTAACCTCTCAAAGTGTACTATTTCAAATTCAAAGTACACCTAATAAAAAACATTACCTTCTTTTAGGAAGATAATAAAAGTCCTATGTTTATGAACACATTTATTTCAGTACATCTAGAAGTAACAGATTGTAGAAACACTCTGTTGTAACTTTAGACTTTATTTAAAAAGTCTCCTTCACTATAGTCACATTTTACCCGCCTGCTAAATTGATAATATACCAGAAATCAGACAGCCACTCTTATTGATTTTAGTTTGTTAGTTTATTTTCATAGAAACAAACTACCACAGTCCTGGTTATCTTTATAACCATACAGTCGTGAGCAGTAACAGATTTAGTTTTTAGTCTTGGTGCTGCGTTTAAGAACTCAGATCTCTGTTAAACCTCAGACTCAGAATTTAAGATGAAATATGACTTGAAGTAAAACTAAATAACAGGTCTGCAGTTTGTATAGCTGCTTTTCAAGTGTGTAGATTCTGTTGACATGTTTATGCATCAAACATATAACATGTGTGTGTGTGTGTGTCTGTGTGTGTGTGTGTGTGTGTGTTCGTGTGTGTAGTAGTTGTGTCGTGTGTGTGTGTGTGTGTGTGTGTGTGTGTGTGTGTGTGTGTGTGTGTGTGTGTGTGTGTGTGTGTGTGTGTGTGTGTGTGTGTGTGTGTGTGTGTGTGTGTGTGTGTGTGTGTGTGTGTGTGTGTGTGTGTGTGTGCATTACATGTTTTATGCTTAATAACGGTGCATGTATAATAGGCGACACATTCATGTTTATATTACGGGACTAGTTGATGGTGGAAGCCTCAACATGACGACATGAAGTATGTACGTATTAATATGACTTGTTATATGGCTGCAGGTTTTTATATATATACACACACACACACACACACACACACACACACACACACACACACACACACACACACCCTTCCTGCATGCATGCAAGTACAGTGGCTGCAGAAAATATTTATAAATATATTTAAGTCGTTTCCAAACAATATTTCTAATCATTGTCAGTATTGGTTATTGATAGTCAATTCATGTGAACAAATGGTAAATGTATAACTTTAAATGGAATCTATTGCACAATAAAGTGTGCAAAAACAAACACATGTTTTTACAAATACGAGGCAAACATTTATATATCTCTCGTACTTGAAAAATATAAAATATATATATATAATACAATAATTGAAAAAAAACGGATTGCAAGACCGTTATATTTACAAGGGAACTTAAGGACTTTCTCCTGAATGTGTTTGTGTTCTTCCTGAGGGAGATGCTTGTCTGGTGGTCCGTGTCGATGTGTTGACCCAGAAATCTCACCCGTCTCTGTTTTATAACATCTTCTCCTCTCTCTGTGTCTGTAGTTACAATCTGCCTGTCATTCCCCTTCACATCAAACTGTTCTCTTTGTTATGTGAAGGAATTAAATTCTGCCCTTGAGCAACGCAACTTTATTAGGAGGAAACCTGCTTATTATCTTCCAGTAAGAACTTAATGTAAGATAAAGCTCTGGCTATAAAGTTAAATGAAAGAAACAAAAACATTTCTGTCAGTCTGATAACTTTAACTACCTACCGTGGATATTCTTGTTGTTTTGATGTATACCTTGTATTAGCACTCACATCAAGCATGTTGTAATCACGCGTACATAAATGCAACACAAAATAGTTCGTCTCAGTTTAGTCTTTGTTAAAAACCTGAAGGTCTTTTCGGCCATAACACAGAGGAGGAGGAGGAGGAGGAGGAGGAGGAGGAAGAAGAAAACAACAGCACAAAAGACAATGAAACATCATTAAAAAGAGTGAAATGTTCAGTAATTTGATTTTTGTGCTTCAGCCTGAAGCTGGAGCAAGAGGACTGAGGAGAAAGATTACTGTGAACATTTCTATCAAACTCATCACACTGAACTCCTACAGTGTCCTTCACAAACACAGTCACCCAATAGGTCAAACAAGGTCAAACAGTGTCATAACGCAGCCGAAAGCTTCTCACTTTAGGGGTAGGGGAGTCAAGGAACAGGTAGAGGAAAATAAGGAGGTTAGAAGGAAAGACAAAGACCTCATAGGAAAGGGAAGGATAAGAATAAGTGGAGGAGGAAAGGGGGAGATGAGGAGGAAAGTAATGAGGAACAGTAAGGCGGCCAACGAGAAACTTAGGAAGGAAACGAGGAGGTAGATGATGAAAGAATTAATAAGAAAAAGGAAAGAAGAAGATAAACAAGGAAGTATTGAATTTAAGCAAATAAGGCTGTAAAGATTAAAAGGATGAGGTGAGATATGAAAAGGATAGGGAAGGAATTAAGGAGAAAATGAAAGGACCTTATAGGGAAATCAAAAAGGGAAGTACATGGAGAATGGAAAAGGAAAGGAAAGAAGAAAGTAGGGACAATAAAGTAACAACAAAGGGGAGGAAAGGGGGAGCTTAAAGCAGAAAGTAGAAAAGGAAAGAAGAGAAGGAGTTAGAGGAAGAAAAGGAGAGATCGAGAACACCGTCAGGAAGTATGAGGAGGAATTAGTGAAGGGTGGACTGTTGATCTCCTGACATTTTGTTACTCCATCCATAACTTTGACCTCTTCTCTCTGTGGACTTTTATACATCCTCACCTAACATCTTGTTTTGCACCTGAGGCATATGTCATCATTCCCAAAGCAGTTAGAGCTCCTGAAGGCACCATGAACATAAACCTGCTCCCTTGAGAGGAAGGTCTGTTAATCACAACAAAAAAAACGATCGAGATATATTTTGTGCAAGTATAGAATTACAAAAAATGTGTACGTGACCAAGTCTCCGAGCAAAATGGAAACACAGGAGTGTGTGTGTGTGTGCTTGTCTGAGAAAGACAGAGTGGATGACGGCTTCTGATAAGGATGGAAAAACAGAGCTGTATTTTCCTTTGATGCACACAGTCACACACACACACACACACACACACACACACACACACACACACACACACACACACACACACACACACACACACACACACACACACACACACACACCTCAGAAATCAGATTTGGGAGCTGTGAGAAATAGATGCATGAAAGGTTGAAAAATGAGGCCTGTCTAATCATTCAATTAGGATCCAAGGCAGATGGTACACACACACACACACACACACACACACACACACACACACACACACACACACACACACACACACACACACACACACACACACACACACACACACACACAGACCTGTTACCATTTGTAAGTCTAGCTCACTCTGAACTCTGTAATCCTATAGCCTCTCTCTCTCAATGTTACTGTATACTCGATCGCCCCGTTTACTGTTAATGAGACACTTGTCGGCCTGCTCTTCATTACCTGAACATCCCATAATTATTTGACTCTATATGTGGAGATATCAACATGATCCCTACCTGCAGATTAACCTCTTACATCACCACAGTGTCCTGGTTTGAGTCCAGGTTTGGGATTTGTTGCAGCGAATAAAACCCACACTGTCCGTGTTCAGAAGATAATGCTAAGTGTAATAAGGTCCAGCTTAGAATAAGTTTGTTATTCATTATTATAGACACAAATAAAAAAAAATGTGTATCACACATACAGTATATCACACAACTATATTAGTTTTGGGGAGGTTGTGGCTCAGTGGTTAGTGCGTTGATCTGCGGATCACGGGGGCACTGGTTTGAATACCGCTGCAGTCAACATTCCGCTGTGTCCTCGGACAAGACACTTCACCCCAACTTGTTCCAGTGGGGATTGCCCACAGTATTGAATGTATGTAAGTCGCTTTGGATAAAACCGTCTAACAATTGACATGTAATGTAATGTCTCCAGCTCTATGGTTCGTCTCCCTGTGATTTAATAGCCAAACAGCGAAAATGTACATCTTGTCCTGAAATTCCCTGCTGCTCTCTGTACTTTAGTATCAGTGTTGCTAAAAGGCACTCAACATTTTTTATCCATTTTATAAATATCTTTATTTTATTTTATCTTAAGTATTATTCATTATGTTTATATAAATATTCCTATTCTTCTTATTTTATTGTATTTTACTATCAAAAAACCCCATAAAGTATTCTAGTTCTGATTAATGAAGGAAGGAAAAGTATGCAGCTTGAGAGAAAGTTGCTTGACTTACACATAAATGATGACATTCAGTCGATGCTTGTCATGATATATTCACATGTTACCTTGTTCTGTGTGTAGCTGGTACACTGGGCCAGTCAGCAGCAGGATCAGGATGAGAAGATGGCTGGCTGTGTGTTTCCAATGGGACCAGAGAGCTTTCAGCGCTTCACGCCGGACTCCCTGGCGGCCATCGAGCAGCGCATCGCCCAGGAGCGGGCACGACGCAACAAACACTACCAGGAGGTACACACACACACACACACACACACACACACACACACACACACACACACACACACACACACACACACACACACACACACACGACAAACAAGAAATACAACTGAGGGAAATAAAGAAGGAAGTAGAGAAGGGAAGAGAAGGAGGAGGTACATGACAAAAGGAGGTAGGAGGTAGGGGAGGAAAGAAAAAGGTAAAGAAGTCAAGGAGGAGTTAGATGAGGGAATAAGAAGATGGGCAAGGAAGAAAGGGTAAAGGAGAGGAGATTGAAGGGAATAACAAAGGGGAAGTAGAGGAGGGAAGGGAGAAGGAGGCCAAGAAGGAAAGCAGCAGGTAGATGAGGAAAGACAGAGATGAGGAAGGGAATGAGGAGGTACATTATTTTTATTAAAACCTGACTAAAATGAGGAGTTCTGCACCTCTGTAGGCAGATGTGAGATCTGTTTGAGGGGTGGTGATGATATCTGTGTGTGTGTGTGTGTGTGTGTGTGTGTGTGTGTGTGTGTGTGTGTGTGTGTGTGTGTGTGTGTGTGTTTG